ATTTCCTGCCGGAGCGGGGCCTTGTGGACGGATGGGAGGACTCTTTAGATCCGCGGGATGCGCGGCAGAAAGGGAATTACAAGGCCCTCGTGTCGAGGGGCCCGGTGTATTCTTCAGGTCCTTGGCCYGGCTATTATCTCATTAATTTTATCCTCTTTTGTCAATACAGTTCATTTCCAAAGGCCGTCCTTTCCATTAGGGTAACAATTCCATGGAGAGCTGGGATCCCGCTGCCGGTGAAAAGCGAGTGGGCGTTCGGCTCCGTGCCCTCGCCAGTGCCTTTTCCCCGCCACCACCAGCTTGGATGTCATTAAAGAGGGAGAGGGACATGCCCTGGTGGTTTTGTTGGGGCCACACAACCACATGGGGGCAACAACTTGGATTGAKAGGGAAATGTGGGTGAAGGTTGGAAAGTTGAGTTCCCTCCCTGCTTCTCCATGTGGGCATGRTTTTTCCATGTAAAATGTAATTTCCCTTAAATTTTAAATCTCCTAAGGCTCCTATAATATAATAAATATCCTACCTAGTATGATAATTAAGATAATAAATATTCTAATAAATAATACTTAAAATATGTAAAGTGATGAGCGGACATTCCTGCTTGGACATTTCCACCACCCAGAAGGTGGAAATGGAGGTGGCCAACCCTCCAGTGAATTCAAACTCAGCTCCTGATTGGGASTGCCCATCCCGGSAAGTGTTCAAGGCCAGGCTGGATGGGGCKTGGAACAATGGGGTCCAGTGGAAAGTGTCCCTGCCCTTGGAGGAGGGATTGGAACTTGGTGATTTTGAAGGTYCCTTCCAACCCAAACCATTCAGGGATTCGATGATTCCATGGCTGCAGTCTGGTAGCATTTGAGACTTTGGCAGCCTGAGCTKATGTTCTGCAGAAGCTTTGTTTTGAGACCACCCAGAGGTCACTTTACTCCCTCAAAAATACAAAAAATCTTAAATTAGAAGAGGCTCAGCTCCACTCCCTTTGGGGAATGATATATTTGATGTTCTTTGCCAAAAATCCTTGAAAATCTTCAAGAATCCTCATAGATTCTTGGAATGGTTTGGGTTGGAAGGAACCTTAAAAATCATCGTGTTCTGACCCCCTGCCTCAGTGGGAATGTCTGTAACAGGCGATGCAGTGCCTGTGGTCCCTTGGTTTGGAGCTTGGCCATCCCTAAGGAATTAGAAAGAAGAGAGAGGTGGGTCACCACTTTGGTGGGTTGAGTAAGTGCAGCAAGGCAGGAAAATAAATATCCCAAGGATTGAAGGGATTCAACCAGATGGATCTTAAACCAGTGTAAGGCTCAGGTGGTGTGAGCAGCCCCTGGGGTTGTGCAGGGCTTGGGCTGGGTTGGGTTTTCTTGACCTTGCAGCCAGAAAGATTTTAATTTATTCAGTTATCTCATATATGTGTGTGTATGTGATAATATAATGTATTAAGGCATATATGTGGATTTATGTTCAATATATATTGAATGTATCTGTAGATAAAGAATTTTTTTAATATATACAGATATATCTACATACATAGATAGAACTATATAGATACAGTRTTTAAATATGTACATATCTATTAAAATATATTTATTTTTTAATATATATATGTCTATATATATATACCTATATATGCCTATGTAGTATATCTGTATACCTATATATCCATGCCCTGAGTGCAGCCACAGCTGTGCCACATCCCAGCCTTTCCCTATAAACCAGAATGGGGAATGTTGGATGAACCCCTGGCTTCTTCCCTGCACTCTAATATGTTTTAGGAAAATATGAAATGTATAATAAATATAAAATAATATCTATATATTATATGTAATACCTATATATTAGTGAATATTTATGATTCTATATGAATTCTATATATTCAATAATAATGATATCAAATGCTAAGAATAAAATCAGTATCTGGGCCTGATATGAGTTATCTCCAGATATTGTTAAATATATATAGAATTATCCAGATGTTATTGAACTTTTGTAATTCAATATATGTATTCAGTGCATATATTCAACAATATCTAGAGATAATTGATGGATGAACAAGACCCAGAGAATATAGGTAACAATATGTAGATATRTGTATAAAAGTGACAATATTTATTGTTCTATATAGTATATAGATCTTGTATTTCAATACATGTACTCAGGGTATATATATTCAATAATCTGTGTATCTRTATGGAGATAGATGTTTGTGGATATCTCTATATATTATCCAGAGATAACATATTAAGAATATATATGGAATTAGAAGAATTTGTTTAAGGGACTGATACAGCCCAGCAAAAAGGAGCCCAGAATCCTTTGACACTACAGCTCCTGTGGATGGAGGCATGGAGCATCCTGGGGTCCTCCCAGGGATGTGTCACCGGGAGAAAGAGGAGATGGATGAAGCTGGGGTGGGTTTTGTCACAACCACGGTGGTGCTTTAGTGTTTTGCAATGCCTTTGTTAGAATCCTGGAATGGGTTGGGTTGGRAGGGACCTTAAAGCCCTTCCAATTCCGTGGATGCCATGGGCAGGGACACTTCCCACTATCSCAGGTTACTCCAAGCCCCTTCCAMATTGGTCTRGGACACRTCCATGGATGGGGCAGCCACAGCKTCTCTSGYAACTCCATTYCACTGCCTCACCAGACTCCCAGGGAATAATTCCTTCCCCARTATCCCACCTAACCCTGCCTTCTGGCAGTRGGAARCYATTCCCTGTGTTCTGTCCCTCCATCYGTTTTCCACTGTCTCTYTCCAGCTCTCCTGGAGCTCCTTTAGGCACTGGAAGGGGCTCTGAGGTCTCCCTGAATSCTTCCCTKCTCCAGGCTGGACATTCCCAGCTCTCYCAGGCTGTCTCCAGAGCARAGRGGTTTCATCCCTTGGAGCATCTCYGTGGCCTSCTCTGGAYCTGCTCCATGTCCTTTCTATGCTGGAACCCCAGAGCTGGACAGAGAGCTCCATGTGGGATCTCAGGAGAGCAGAGTAGAGTGGGAAAATTCCCACCATTGCCCTCCTGACCCTTGGATATTTGATATAATTTTTGTTGTCCCTGATACGGTCACAGGACCATTCTCCATATTCTTTAGCCATTGCTGGACGCATCCGTGGCCTTGCTGGAGTTTTCTGGGATGTGCTGGATGACCCAGGTGTCCCTCCTGCCATCACCACTTTCACCCAACAATGCCACCACTGCAACTCCTTGTGAGTTAATAAGACTTGATGCTCATGTCCGGAGCAGTTCCACGAGGAAGAAACCCTGGGGAAACTGAAAGTGGGGAATTTATCGAATTCCCATCACCTTCCACAAAAAAAACAGGCAGCAAAAATTCTCTAAGCTTGGTAGCCAGTGGCAACAGCCCTCCGGAATGAATAGGCTGTCACGCTCAGCATTAGGAAATGTAACTATTCCATTTTCCAGCTCTCTTYTTCTTTGGAAGCACATGTTCATTTAAAGGAAATGCTCTCCGGGGTTTGCATTCCGCTGATAGGATAGYGGGATCTTAATTTACGGATATTCTCTGGTAATGCGCGGTTTATATACGTTCTGCTAATAGCATTATGAGCATAGTTTGGGCTAATACAAAATTAGAGCTCTAATTTGCATAAACAAATTACTGTTTGGATTAGCGCTAAATGAGGAAGGCGACTGATATTGGAGGAGATTTGATTTGGCTGCAGCGGCTCTGTTTGGATAATGGGGGATGGATGGGAATGAGCTGGGAGGCTCTGTTGCGAGTCGGGAGGGAGGTGGAATGATGCAGGAAGCATTGGGTCATGGAGTGGGCAAAATTTTGGGTGTCAGAGGGGTCTTTGTGGGGCACACTGTCCTTCTGGGACCTTTAGCAAAGTGAGGTTGGCCTCTTCTCCCTGGCAACCAATGRCAGGATGAGAGAAAATGGCCTCAAGCTGTGCCAGGGGAGGTTTGGGCTGGAYATCAGGAGGAAYTTCTTCATGGAAAGARTGGTCAGGTGTTGGTGGGAGKTGTTCAAGGAGTGCCTGACCRTGGCACASTGGTCTGGTTGACAAAATGRTGATCAGTCACAGGTTGGACTTCATGGTCTTGGAGGTCTTTTCCAACCTAAAAGATTTTAGGATTCTGTGATCTTTGTCCATCAGGTAGCACTTCAAGAACTTACTGATCCTTCAGAAGAACTTTATGGGCARCAGTAAATGGATCATGATTCTCGATCCATTGTGTTCCCATTGCCTCAATACGGGGTTTGTGAATTTAGAGAGAGTTGAGGAGGTGGGGATGGGTTCTCACCCCTGCCTGCTGGAGCCCACTCACGTCCCAGCACCAGCTCCAGGTGACAGATGGGGGATGGAAGTGCTCTTGGGTGACTTGTCCCATGCAGGGATTGAGGAAAATCCTTCCAAGAGCCRGATTTGGGGGCAGAATAAAAATACCAAAGTTGTGGAATCTGTTTAATAATGGGAATAATGATACCAAAAATACTCCGGGAATGTTTTGGTTGGAAGGGGCCTTAAAGACAATTTAGTTCCAAACCCCTGCCATGGACAAGGATGCCACCCACTGGACCAGGTTGCTCAAAGTCCTGTTCAACCTGGCTTTGAAGCTCTTCCAGGGATGTCAAAGCCTGTGGAGCTCCATAATATTTGACCAAGCTCAGTGAAGCAAATCTTGCTGATTCTCTCATGGAATTGCATCCACATTTCCTTATTTCTGCTGGTGCTGGAAGTGCAAGCCAAGGGTGGGAGAAGTTGGGGGAGAGTCTTTGAAGGTGTTATTATGGTGTCAGTCATGAGGAATCAGAGCTTTTCCTCTGTCAACAGCAAGAACATTCCTGGTTCTTCCATGCATCACCTCCCTTCCAGTGGGAGCTGTCCCTGCCCATGGAATTGGGGTTGGAACGAGATGATCTTGAAGGTCCTTTCCAACCCGAACCATTCCATGAATCTGATCCTGTGGTTTGCCCATGAAGCAGCACCTCCTTGTGGCATTTTCCCTGCTTTGGGCTGATTTTTGACTTTGTTTTTCCTGCAGATCCCCATTGCTAAACCAAACCCGACCCTCACTCCAAGGTGGCAAATCGCAGCTCGCGCAACAGCTCTGGAGGAGCAAAGGCTTCCGCTGCATCGGCGGGGTCATGTACCGCGTGTCGGCCAACAAACTCTCCAAAACTTCCAGCAGCCCTATCCGGGCCAGGGAACTGAGCAACAGAACTCCCATCAGAGCAGGTGAGCAGCAGGAATTTGTCCAAAATCCACTGAGTTCAGTTTTTAGCTGTTTATTTCTGGACCTCTAAGAAGGGTCTTGGGGAGAAGTRATGGCTGGAAGGACTGGAAAAGTGGAAGATCAAAAGCAGCCAAAAAACAATGAGTTTAAAGTATTGGGAGGGTTTTCCAAGGACAAGRATGAGGAAGTTCTGGGAGACATTTGGCTGAGCTAACTCTAAAATCTCCATTATTGGGATTTTTTAAAGAACAGATTTCATAAACTTCTTTTTGGGGTGGAGAAGGTCTTGCCTTGCAGTAAGAAGGTGAATTTTCTCATCTATTTAAATGCAATGAAGTCTCTAAATTTGTCTGGAAACAGCAAAGTCCGCTGTGGACAACTCAGCAAAGGCTGATTGATTCAACCTTTCCATGAATATCCATCACTGGTTTGGGTCTGAGCTCATAAACAACAACTTAGAGTGGAATTTTTGGAAGAGCGATTGAGCCAAAAGTATGATGGGGAGGATTTCTGTAAATTCAGGCATTGGAATTGTTCRTGGGGGTTTCCTGGGGAAATTTGGGGTGACAGGGCATGGAGGAGATGTGATCCCCCCGTTTTTCCTTCCCACATCCTTTAGTAAGGTCTCATAAGAGAAATGCATTCAGTTAGTCCTGCTTTGGGACGGGGGATCCCTTCCAAGGTTATTCCCTATGRAATCCAAACCCATCCAGTTATTATTTTAAAGTTATTTCTTATTTTCCTGTTGTGTTCTTCCCCCCGTTGGCTCCSTAACCACAAAACACGATGAACTGCTGTGAATCAGTATTTTCATGTCATCTTTCATCTCTCTCCATAATTCATCCTCCTTCCCAAGGATGGATTCCACAGATTCTTCTCGCCTTAGGATAACTGGGCCTGGCAGGGCGGAAGATTTGTGTGTTCTCATCGGCTGCGAACGTTTGCTCAACGCTCTTGTGTTTTCAACACTTGACAAAGTTTATTTAAAAGATGGAAAAAAACGGCTTTTCCTTTCCCTTCCAGTGCCAGGCGCCGCGTGTTTGGAGTAGCAGAGAGACGGGAAATGCTCCTGACACTTTAATAGCTTGGAGTTGACTTCCAGGGGGTTATAATTCTGCTCTTTTCCTGGATTTATTGGGTTGGGGTTTTATCTTTGCAGTACAAAATCCAATGCTGGGCGCTGGGGCTGATCCATCCACACCATCGTAGCATTCCCAAGTGATTTATTGATGGATGCTGGTGGTGAGTTAAGGTTTGATCCTGGGGATGCTCTTCCTTGCATCCTTATGTTGTATTGGGATCAATCCTGAGGCTATTACCAGGAGCTATGGGAAGAGCAGGAGTTTTCCATGGCTCTTCCACAATTGCTTTGTTAGTGGGGAAGAGACAAGGAGGGCAGACAACTTGGGGACAAGGAAAGTGTCACTGCTATCCCAGGAAAAGATTTTGGAAGTGTTTTGAGCATTCAAAAAACCTCCTTGAAGCAATGAGGCATCACCATGGCCTGTGCAGCTGCTGAGAACTTTGCTCTCATCACACATGTGGCTCTGCCCCTGAAGGATTTCTGCACTTTCCATACTTGTCTCCGGAAAACTGCAAATAAAATACAGAAATAAAGAGACTTTTTGCCTTCCCAGCTGGACTGGGAGCTTGGATGTGGCGTAATTCACTGTTCGGGCAAGGATGGAGAAGAACACTCAGCGCTTACTCGCTGCTCATCCCTGTGCAAGACAAAGATGCGGGATCACACCTGGAAAAGCACTTTCCCTTTGGGATAACTGGTATTTTGTACCCATGTATTTTTTTGCTTCTCAGAAGACTTGAAAGATCAGCAGTGGGATGGTGCGGAAAGCATTTGCTACGTGGCAATTAATTAAACAACCAGAATAATTGGGTTTCTCTGCTCCTAAGGAGCCTTTCCTTCGTTTCTTTCTCYAGCTGCTAAGGCATTCTCCAGACTCTCGAGGAATTTCCATGAAATCAGGGAGAGAAGCGAAAGGTCTTGGGCAATGTAGAGTTTCACAAAGAAATACGGAAGGGGAAATACAAGATTGAAAGCAGCAGAAAGCAAATTAAGGTTTGACATTGTCCGGAAACCAGCCCTGACCCCAATCTCGGCACGAGCCGCCGCCGCTGCTGAGAGAGGAATTGCACTCCGTGAGCTGGGGCTGACTCCAGCAGGGTTTTCCAAGTGTCCAGGCTGTTTTTCTATTGGCAAATCCTCACCTGCATGATTTCCTTACCCTCTGCTGAGGATTTAGTACTTGGGAAAACCATASGGGCCGTGGTGGCTCTGGGGACTCCAGAGGTGGCAGCTGGCCCCTTCAGCAGCATGATTTTATTTATTTTTCAAATTTTCTCTGTGACCATAGATTCCAGAACCTTGGAGCTACTGAGCTCCCAAAGGTGGAGGTATAAGAGGAGTTTTAAGTCCTCCTGAGCTGAGACGCCTCCCACACATTGTGATGGTGGTTCTGATCCCAGAGGAACAAATTATTGATTAAACTGTGGTTCATCCTTCCAGAACGGGGGTTCTTTCCCTGCATCCAGATTCTCTCCCTGTCTCCATCCTGCTGTGTAACATCCTCCCTTGCCTCAGTTTCCCCACTTGGCTGAGACAGTGCTCAGCTGGGGGGAATGAAGGTCATGGAATCATGGAATGGTTTGGATTGGAACAGACCTTAAAGACAATTTCATTCCAACCCCTGCCATGGGCAGGGACACCTTCCACTATTCCAGAGTGCTCTAAGCCCCATCCAACCTGGTCTTGGACACTTTCAGAGATGAGGCAGCCACAGCTTTCTAGGAATCCTGTGCCAGGACCTCCTCACCCTCACAAAGAAGAATTTCTTCCCAATATCCCATCTATCCCTGCGCTCTGGCAGTGGGAAGCCATTCCTTTGTCCTGCACTCCATCCCTTGTCCCAAGTCCCTGTCCAGCTCTCCTGGAGCTCCTTTAGGCACTGGGATGGGGCTCTGAGGTCTCCCTGGATCCTTCCCTTCTCCATGTGAACATTCCCAGCTCTCCCAGGCTGTCTCCAGAGCAGAGGGACTCCATCCCTTGGAGCATCTCCGTGGCCTCCTCTGGACTCCCTCCTTTGCTTCATTGGTCTGGGGGCAGATGATGGATGCTCTCGAATACGATTTGGGGTGCAGTGGGAGAACCCACACTTGGAGATCTCCACAGTGCTGGAAGGAAGTGCACTCTGGCCTCCCTTTTTCCCAACTAATTTTAGAAGTTCCGAATGGCACACAAATTCTCTTCCCACTTTTTCAAGGATGAYGGAATACTCAGCACCGCTGTTGACTCACGGGCGCTCAGCGCTTGCAGGAATGATACTCTGCCCTCTGAGCCACTCAGGTTTTTACAGAAGGAAGGGAGTGCCAGGGCCAGGATCCCCTTGTGCTCACTCTCTTTGAGGTGAATTCTTTGGGTTTGGGATTGCTCTGTCTCTTGCCTCTTTTTGAGCTCAATTCCTTGGCTTCTTCAGGTTCAATCCCTTGTTTTTGGGAAGGCTTAATCCCAGGAACCCTTCAGTCTCACTGTCTTGGTTTTGGGATTGCTCAATCCYTTACCCCTTTTGAGCTCAATTCCATGGCCCCTTCAATCCCAATGCCATGTGTTTGGGATTATTTAATTCCTGATCTCCGCTGTGATCAATCCCTTGGCCCCTTTTGAGCTCTATCCCTTAGTTCTGGGATTGCTCAATCCCTTTGACCCCTTCACTCTCAATTCTGTGGTTTTGAGATTGTTCARTCCTTCTACCCCTCTTGAGTTCAATCCTTTGGCCCCTTCAGTCTCAATGCCTTGGCTTTGGGATTGCTCAATCCCTTACACTTTATGAGCTCAATTCCTCAACTCTGGAACTGCAAGGATTAGATCCTGMTCCAGGCTCCTTGCCCACATCTGCTCATACAACATCCAACCCCAAGCTGCTTCATTAATTGAAGTTGTTTCATTAATTGAAGTTGCTTCGTTAATAAAACTCTTGTGACCACCTGACTCAGGGATATTCATGGGATGCGGGGACAATCGGGCAGGAAAACAGGAACATCTCTGCTCATGTAGCAGCAGCTCATCCCTTCTTTTTCCGTTGTCTTCTCCGGAATGAGGACCTGTGCTGTCCAGCGAGGGAAATAAATGACCCCCAGCAGCTGCAAGTGCTGATCCTCGGAATCTGCGGAACCCACTTAAATGAATAATAATTAAAGAAATAAATTTCCCCGAGTGCAGCCTCAAAACTTTCGGTTCAGCAATAAAGCCAAGGAGAGACTCGGAAAATGAATCGCTCGGCTCTTTCCGAAGGAGGCCGCGGTGGGCAAGGAGGGATGATAATGGGATCTGTTAAAGGAGCCGGTGTGGATTAAGGAAGCCTTTTCCAGGTTTTGTGGGAACAGGCTAAGCAGAAGTGTGTGATGATACTGACACCTGAGGGATAAAAGGATTGAACAATCCTAAACCGGTGGAATTGAGAGTGAAGGGGCCAAGGAATTGAGCGATCCCAAAACCAAGGGGTTGATGTCAGTGTCTTGGAATTGAAGAATCCCAAAGACAAGGTGCTGAGATTGAAGGGGCCATGGAACTGAACTMAAAAAGGGTAAGGGACTGAGCAACCCCAAAATCAAGGAATTGAAATGGGAGGGGCCAAGGCACTGAGCTCAAAAGGGGTCAGGGATTGGGGAACCCCAAACCCAAGGAATTGAGCTCAATGAGCTGAAGGACTAAGCTCAAGAGGGATAAAGGGACTGAACAGTTCTAAAACTGTGGAATTGATGAGCAAAAAATAGTGGGAAAATGGAATGACYCTGTTGTGGTCATCCCCAAGTCTGAGTGCTGGCCAGTGGAGCTGATCACTTACCTACCATTGTTGGGCAAATCCCTGGTTGTATCCCTCTGTGTCAGAATTTCCATAAATTATCCTTGATTTAGGGCACTGGAAGCAGAAGGGCAGCAGTGGGCTCACCACAGGCTCAACACTCATCATTCTAACAACAACCTCACCCTTTTGCCCATCCTTTGGCCCTGTTGCACCCAAGTTTCTGCATTTCTCCCTTTTTGGGGCTATTTCAGTTTTCTACCCTGGTTATTTCCCTCTCTGTRTTAGATTTCCATAAATTATCCTTGATTTGGGATTGTGAAAGTAGATGGGAAGCAACAGGCTTGACACTCATCATTCTAATAATGTTCTCACCATCTTGCCCATCCCTTGGCCCCACCACACCCCAACTCTGAATTTCTTCTTCTTTTTCTCCCTATTCCAGTTTTCTACACTGATTRTTTCCCTCCAAAGGGAAGATTTCCATAAATTATCCTTGATTTGGGATTGTGGAAGTAGATAGGAAGCAACTGGTTCAACACTCATAGTTCTAACAATGTTCTCACCCTCTTGCCCATCCTTTGGTCCTGGCTCATCCCAACTCTGAATTTCTCCCTTTTTATGGCTGTTTCATTTTCCCACCCTGGTTGTTTTCTTCTTTGTAGGAGATTTCCATAAATTATCTTTGATTTGGGACATTGGGAGCAGATGGGAAGCCGTGGGCTCAACACTCATCATTAACAATTTTCTCAGCCTCTTGCCCATCCCTTGGCCCCACCACACCCAATTTCTGAATATCTTTCCTTATTTTCTGCATATTTCATTTTTCTACACTGATTGTTTCCCTCCCTGGGCAAGATTTCCATAAATTATCCTTGATTTGGGACAGTGGAAGCTGATGGGCAGCAATAGGCTCGTCATGAGCTCCTCACTCATTGTTCTAAAAACACCCTCACCCACTTGCCCATCCCTTGGCCCCGGCTCACCCCRACTCTGAATTTTTCCCTTTTTTCTGGGCTGTTTCAGTTTTCTGCTCCAGTTGTTTTCCTCCCTGTGTAAGATTTCCGTAAATTATCCTTGATTTGGTGGTGGAAGTAGATGGGAAGCAGTGGGCTCAACACTCAACATCATTCTAACAATGTTCTCACCCTTTTGTCCATGSCTTGGCCCTGGCTTACCCCAACTCTGCATTTTTCCCCTTTTTTCTGGGCTGTTTCAGTTTTCTACCCTGGCTGTTTCCCTCCTTGTGTAAGATTTCCATAAATWATCCTTGATTTGGGATTGTGGAAGTATATAGGGAGCAATGGGCTCAACACTCATCATTTTAATGCTGTTCTCACCCTCTTGTCCATGCCTTGGCCCCGGTTCACCCCAGCTCTGCATTTCTCCCTTTTTTTTTTTTTTTTTTTTTTTT